CTCTCTCTCTCTCTCTCTCTCTCTCTCTCTCTCTCTCTCTCTCCTGACAGCCGGTCAGTATCTCATGCAGCTAAACAGTGGGCAGGGCTTCAGGTGATCATGCAGAGCTGAGTGTCTCCGTCAGACTCAGCAGCTGATCTGATCTCTCTCTCTCGTCCGGTTATACTTCACTCGCGTTTATGTCCATATCGATCAGATCCAGCTCTCCTGATCGGCCTTTATAGAGAGCACCGATCAAACTATTAAGAGTGAATATCGGCCGATAATGACCGGCGGCCGATCGATCGGAGCATCCCTAATTATTACCGGACATTTTGAATTTACCGGTTTTTAATAAATCTTACCAGCTAAAAAAAAAGGTAATTACCTAATATACACACATGCACATACAAAGGGGTAGGATTTGTAATGCTGTGTAACATTTTGAGAACCAGACTCTTTTCTCAGACTATTTATTATTATTATTTGCTAAAATTGTGCAACCACACAAAAGAAACTCAACATGCAATTGATTTTGTGCTCATGTTCTCCAAATAATGAAAAAGAAACGTGATAGTAATATATAAAAGTACCATTATAAAACACATTTCCAACGTTTGTTGTGTCTCTGTTCCTCCCAGGAGTCGATGCAGGGCAGCTCTGACGAGACGGCCAACAGTGTGGAGGAGGGCAGCAGCGGGCCGGGCAGCAGCAGCGGCCGCAGCGAAGCCTCCAGCAACGAGGCCGCCTCCTCCAGAGCCAGCCAATCAGCAGGGAGCCCCGGCAGCGAGATGCACTCTGACGACATGGCCGACAGCGAGGCCCTCAAAGAGGAGGAAGAGGAGGAGGAGGATGACGACGAGGAAGACGACGAGGACGACGACGATGATGATGACGATGACGACGAAGACGAGGGGAATCGGTCGGCTGCTGAAGGCGGGAATCATCAAAAAGAACAGAGGGAGCAGACTGAGTCCAGGAAGAGGAAAGCGGGGGAGGCTCTCGGTGAAGGCACGAGCCAGGGGGCGGGGCCTAGCGGTTCAGGAGGCGCGGCCAAATCTAAAAACCTCCCTTTCAACCCGGAGACATCTTCTGCTGCCGTCATGGCGTCTGCGTCTCTGGAGGGCCGGATGAGGATGCTGGACGCGTGTTCTGCGTCTACGTCTGCTCGGCCCGATGTGACGGAGCCTCAGCAGCCGGAGATCGGACCCTCTCAGATGGTTCAGGGTCCTCAGGGTTCTCAGGAGCCTCCATGTCTGCCTCGGGGGCCCGGGGACTTCCTGGGGGACGCCATGGGCAACGAGATCTTCAACTGCCGGCGCTTTATTGGCCCCCAGCACCACCACCATCACCATCATCACCACCACCACCATGAAGGGTGAGCAAAGAATAGATTAGATTAGATTTAGTCATCACAAATGGGAAATTGTTTTGTTACGGCAGCGTGTAAATGAGGCGTACACAAAATGATGTAGACTACACTATTATAGACTAACTTACCACTTAAGGAACATTTTAACATATTACATAAGTGTGCAAAGTAGTTGCAGTGTTACCCTAACCCTACCCTGAAGGGTGAGGACTTTAACATTATATTTATTGGGTTTTTAACATGCATTAACACATGGGAAAATAACATCTTCTCTGCTTCCTGTTTACAAACCCCTCCCCCCTCCTCCTCTCAGTCCGATGGTGGAGGACATGCTGAGCGCTGACGATGTGTCCTGCAGCAGCTCTCAGGTCAGCGCCAAGTCGGAGAAGAACATGGCCGACTTCGATGGAGAGGAGTCGGGCTGCGAGGAGGAGCTGGTGCAGATCAACTCCCACGCTGAGCTCAGCTCTCACCTCCAGCAGCACCTCCCCAACCTCGCCTCCATCTACCACGAGCACCTGGTGCAAGGTGAGCAGCACCCACTGGACAATATATCAGATTGATTATATATATTATACAGATACATCCTGATATCAGAATCAGGTTTATCACCAGGTAGGTCGACACGTACGAGGAATTTGACTTGATGTCATGGTGCGATAGCGATAGTAAAATAATATACATATACATTGAAATAGGATGGAATAAAATATAAACTATGTGCAGTAAAAAAAAAAACAGATATTGTCAATATGAGACTAGGTTTAGTCTTTTGTTTTGGGTAAGGGCTACAACCAGCGTTTCCCCCAGGGTGGCGTCTTGCCGTCATTTGACGCTCTTATTCAGCTCGGAACGCCCTGAACTCGAGCCGAGGGCGTCCCGAAAAGATTTGAGAAGATCGAGAGTTTTTATCGCTTGAAATGAGGAAAAGGAAAAAGGACAAGAACATCCCTCTGTTGGAAGGGCAAAGGAGTCTGCTGGGATTCTTTTCGCCGCCAGCAAAGCGTGTTCCTGTGACGGAAAGTGTACTGCCGGCGAGTCTTGGCGGGGGGGGTGCTAGTGGAGCATGCGCGTGAACTGCGAGCGCCGGAGCCTCGCAGCGGCGAAACTGAGGCTCCGTGGTGAGCTGTGGTAACATGAAGAGCCGTTTGGGAGCCGAAAGAGAGCCGGAATTCCCATCACTAATACGTAAAGAGATAGTATCTATAAGGGTCAGCTCAATTCAAGTCACCTGACACGACGTGACGTCACACCCCCCCCCGCGCTCTCGGGGTGGACGCCCTCTCAGCCCTGATCTGGCGGAAACATTTGAAAAAATATCTTATTGCTATAAATCTGACTGATTTTGCAATTGTCGATAACACATATTCACATTATCATTGAAAGATATATAACAAATAATCTTCTTTTTTAAATAATCTCTACCAAACAAGGATTTTTTATGAAGTCTGTAGAATACCTTTTATAAACCACGTTATCCTGCAACACCAAATGACTCCGGGATGATTTAATCACTTATGTTGCCTTAAACAAATATTGCACCACATAATGTTACATTACAAATGACATGCCACTTCTCAGATGCTTTTATCCAAAGCGACTTCCATGCATTCAGTACTGTGGGCAATCCCTTATACTTATATACTTAGAGCAAAAACTAGTCCATATTGCAATTTTAATACATTTCTTATTAATTGTGCAGCCCTACTTTGGATATTGTAATATTGTACAAGTGCTGTCTTTCCAAGTTTCAATATCTGCATTTCAGTAAACTCTATTCTCAAATGTTGTTTTATTTGTCTTTACCCACCAAGCCATTATAATCCACATTACTGATTCATATATATTAATATGTGTGTGTGTGTGTGTGTGCAGGGCCAGCCGTCCATAAGCACCAGTTCTCCAACAGCCACGCTGTGACCGACATCAACCTGGACAACGTCTGCAAGAAGGGAAACACGCTGCTGTGGGACCTGGTGCAGGACGACGACGCGGTACCACTTCCATCTTCTTCTCATAGACAGATATCAAAGTACAAGATCTCCTCTGGTCTCATGTTTAATGTGTGTGTGTGTGTGTGTGTGTGTTTTAGATCCATCTGTCTGAGGGTCTGATCAACGAGGCGGAGAAGTTGCTCTGTTCTCTCGTCTGCTGGTTCACTGACAGACAGATCCGGATGCGCTTCATTGAGGGTTGCCTTGACAACCTGGCTCACCACAGGTAAGACTGACTGAGCGACAGGCTGATTTTTTTCAGGGAGCATTCTGGATTTAACCTTTTCTGCAAACGAACAACAACACTCGTAGAATGAATCTCGGAAAGCTGCATGGAGAAGTGATCTAGAAATTATTTTATTGTGTTAAATTATTTTGAAAAGGTCAATTATTGGGTGTTTGTCAAAAAAGCACAAGATGGATGGATGGATGGATGGATAGACAGATGGATAGATAGACAGACAGACAGACAGATAGATAGATAGATAGATGGATGGATGGATGGATGGATGGATGGATGGATGGATGGATGGATGGATGGATGGATAGATGGATAGACAGATGGATAGATAGATAGATAGATAGATAGATAGATAGATGGATGGATGGATGGATGGATAGATAGATAGATGGATAGACAGACGGATAGATAGACAGACAGATGGATGGATGGATGGACGGACGGACGGACGGACGGATAGATAGACGGATAGATGGATAGACAGACGGATAGATAGACAGACGGATGGATGGATGGACGGACGGACGGACGGACGGACGGACGGATAGATAGACGGATAGATAGATAGACAGACAGACAGACAGATGGGTGGATAGATGAGTTGTATGTCCAAAAAAAAGCAATGGGAAATTATTTTGTATCGGTAGCAACAGGCTGTTGCCAACTGTAAATGTATAGATATCAACAGTAGAAAGATGTGTGTATCTATAGAATACACAATATTAAATAAAATATGAATATGAATACACTAATGTACCAAACTCTTCCAACTTAAATATGAAAATAGGGTACTGTATACATTTAGAAGTGTGCAAAGTAGTTGCATTAAAACTAAATAAACCTAAGATAGAAAATAATATTTTTAGAACACCTTCAATGTCTTATTGTTTTTTTTTGTATCCATGTTTTTGACCCTCATCGTCTCGTCTTCCCTCTCAGGTCTGTCGTTGTTTCCCTGCGTCTACTACCCAAACTTTTCGGCACTTTTCAGCAGTTTGGCTCCAGCTACGACACTCACTGGATCACCATGTGAGTGACTTCTCCTAACTTGAATATCATTAACTTCTAGTATAACTTTTCCCGCCTACGTACTAGGGATGGGAACGATTAATCGAATATTCGAATATTCCAAGTTATTCAGGTATTCGAATATGAGTTATGAATATTTTTATTAATTTTTTTTTTTTTTTTGGGAGGGATGCCTAAGTTGATTACATATTATCAAATTGAATAATTCAATGTATACGACAGTGCCATAGCTAAATGTGTTAGGTGACGTCTAAAGGTGTGTTTTGCTCCGCTCACCGGTCCCTCACAGCGGGCAGAGCTGCAGGTGCTGATCTCTCTCTCTCGCGTCCGGTACTTCACTCGCGTTTATGTCCAAATCCATCAGATCTAGCTAGTTCTAGCTAATGATATGGCTGCTGCCCCTCCCTACACGCAGATCACGCAGATTCAAACCTCATCTTATGCCCAAATGCGGCGCAAATGCGCTCCGCAGCCGTTGCGAGGTTCCGGCGCTAACAGTTCATGAGCGTGCTCCCCCGCCCCCTGTCAACACTCGCGACACATGAGTGGCCAGCCTAAACAACAATAAGTGCTGCTTGGCAACCGTGTGTGGCGGCAAAGTACATAGACATTTTGACAGGAGAGATTTAGTTTTGCCGGTATTCAACATATTTTACCAGTCATAGTCCGGTAATTATTTACACTCTAAGAAGAGTCCTACACAACAGACATGGCGTCAAAAAGGAGTAATGTGTGGAAATATTTCGACCAGGTTAGTGAGTGCGGTGTAGAGTGCAAACTATGCCAAATTAAACTTATATATATACATACTATACCTTGCTATACCCGCAACCTCCGTTCCAGCTGAGAGGGTCTTCTCTACAGCTGGCCTGATTGTGAATCGCCTCCGCACATGAAAGCTGTAGGCCTATAGCTGTCAAACTGTGATCACCAGTTCAATACATTTGACAAATTCGACTTGGTTTCTATACTTATTTGAACATGTATTTATTTATTTCCAAAAGTTATTGAAAACACTTTTTTCTAAAAAATATTTTACACAATTTTTTTTTACCCAATTTTTTTTTTATAGGATGTGTACATTTCGGTTAACCGGTTAACCGTTTTTTTGGGGGGTCGAATATTCGAATATACATTTGCTTTCAAATTCCCATCCCTACTACGTACCATATTTCCGCTGGTCTTAAGATGCTGAACGGCTCCTAAATATATTTGTGTGTGTGTGATTCAGGTGGGCAGAGAAGGAGCTGCACATGATGAAGCTGTTCTTCGATAACCTGCAGCACTACATCCAGGAAGTCCGGGAACACCGGCACAAGTTTGCACTGTAAGTCCGTCAGACCTTCACCTCGGTTCCTCAAAGAAATGCAGCAAATAAGAATGAAAAGATATAATTATTGTCTCTTTGTTGTTCTCTGTTACTGACCTGTCCTTCCTTGCCGTGGTGCTCAGGTACAGCCACAGTGCGGAGGTCCAGGTCCGTCTGCAGTTCCTCACCTGCGTCTTCTCCACACTGGGATCACCCGACCACTTCAGTAAGATTTAACGTCTTATATTCCTCTCAGATTAACACCAGTCTCTCAACAATGAAAATAAACGGTACATAAAAAGGTGCAATGTGTAAAATATGGCCAGGATTTAAGTTTAAAACTTCAAAAAAAGGATTTAACGTCGTTATCACTATTTCTAGAAGAGACTTACGACTATTATAGCTTCAAAGATAGTTTTATTCAAGTAAATAAATAGATAAATACATAGTTATATTTGTACTAAATAGTTCACTCTATAATAGGCCTACATACAAAGTACAGAATAATATTTCTTTGTCAATTATATATTTTTAGAAGGAAACAAAAATCAACATTGGCAGGTACGATTTAAAAAAATATTTATGTCTTTAAATGTAATAAACATTTGCGATTTCATTAAAATTCATCCTATAATTAAACTCAAAGAAACCCTGTTTGATCAGAAATATTGTTATTGATCCCAACTTTTTTGTCTTGTCTCTTTAAAATAAAGTAACGTGACAGGGTATGTCTGCAGTGTGGTCCGTATATATATGACAGGAAAGAGATACAATTGTCCAGTATTTCACATTTTAGGTTAAAAAAACAACTGGGTTTTAGATACATAGATGGATAGATAGATAGATAGATAGATGGATAGATAGATAGATAGACAGACAGACAGACAGATAGATAGATAGATAGATAGATAGATAGATAGACAGACAGACAGACAGATAGATAGATAGATAGATAGATAGATAGATAGATAGATAGATAGATAGATAGATAGATAGATAGACGGACAGACGGATAGATGGATGGACGGATGGATGGATAGATGGATGGATGGACGGATGGATGGATGGATAGACAGATAGATAGATAGATGGATGGATGGATAGATAGATTGTGCTACAAACGTTGTTGTTCTTTTGCTCGGCATTACTTTTTTGTGGATGTTCGGACCCCTTGTTTCTATGTACATACAGTACCACATGCTGGGAATCAAAATAGCTTGAAGGGACGCAAATAAACTCTAACAATCACTCCTGACAATCGAGAAAAAGCGCATGGACAGTTTTTCACACCAGTATTTTTCCCTGATTGAGTTTGTGTGTAATCCTGTGTGTGTGTGTTTCAGGGCTGAGTCTGGAGCAGGTGGACATCCTGTGGCACTGCCTGGTAGAAGACGCTGAATGTTACGACGACGCTCTGCACTGGTTTCTCAATCAGGTCCGCAGCAAGGACCAGCATGCAATGGGCATGGAGACCTACAAACATCTGTTCCTGGAGAAGGTAGGAGCTCAATGTCTCACACACACCACAAGATCGATGTTTTAAAATCTGAGAATCAATTGAGCCTCTTTTGGTAAATTATGTAACAACTCACTGGTTCTAGAATTATATAATATATTATAGAGATATATTATTATTCATAATTTTGCAAATGCATGACCGATTTCTTTCTTCAAACTTTATTACAAACTGATTTTCCAATTTGATGGAAAAGTTTGGCAGCATTTCCAGAAGATTCACCATTCTTTCTTTCATAACAATAATAATAATACATAAGATTTATATAGCACTTTTCCCAGTGCTTTACATACAATCAGAACAGAGCAACAAAAACAAAAGTCCTGCAAAGACCGATGAGAGTCTAGTGAGTTCTTCGTTACACATATCAAATATCTGAATAATTAAAGCTGCAAATCACGTGTTGTAAATCTTTGGGACAACTACCCTCCGGCCCGAAGGAAAAAGCTTAAATTCTGAGTGCAGAGGGTGGGAGTCATCGTCTAATATGGAGCTGGATAACCGCTGTAACTGCCTGAGGTACAGGGTCTCCAGGTTTAGCTGTAACTGCCTGAGGTACAGGGTCTCCAGGTTTATCTGTAACTGCCTGAGGTACAGGGTCTCCAGGTTTAGCTGTAACTGCCTGATGTACAGGGTCTCCAGGTTTAGCTGTAACTGCCTGAGGTACAGGGTCTCCATGTTTAGCTGTGGCTCACCAGGTCTGCTGGACCACTTTACGGTCTGACTCAGAGAGTTTCTGCTCCTTAAAGTCAGGTTACCAAACCATGACATTAGTGAAAAAGACAGAATTGACTCGATAAAACATGATCATCATGGTTTAGTCCAGAGGCAGTCTGTTTTATAAGTTTATGCTCTGATGGAGGAGCTTTGTGTTGCTCTGTTTCTATTGTTGTGTTATCTAACAGTGTGTGTGTGTGTGTGTGTGTCCAGATGCCCCAGCTGAAACCAGAGACCATCAGTATGACCGGCCTCAACCTCTTCCAGCACCTGTGTAACTTAGCGCGCCTCGCCACCAGCGCACTGGACAACGCCTCCAGCTGTGAGGTACACAAGCTCTACTTCATATTCAAAACATCTAAAAACCTTCAAATATTCTTTGTTTATCTCTATGGAAAAACAGAGCTGTTTACAATCTAAAGGCTCCAGAGCTAAGCTAACATGTTACAGTAACTCATCTTGCCTGAAGTTAAGTCACAAACACTCGACTCACAGATGTGTGTGTGTGTGTGTGTGTGTGTGTGTGTGTGTGTGTGCAGCTGTGTGGGATGGACCAGCTGTGGGGCATCGCTCTGAGAGCTCAGTCTGCAGATATCAGCCGCGCCGCCATCCAGTACATCAACTCCTACTACATCAACGGTGAGTTTACTCCATCAGTAACACACAGCCTGTCATGCAAATACATACAGACTTCCATATCAAAGTCAATAGAAGCAGGAGGTCTGAAAATAAGCTCATAAAGATGATAGCCCTCCTGTGAGTTATCCAATCATATCCCCTCTTGTCAAAGATCTCAAATATCACACGGATATAATTACAAACCTCATGATAAACAAGATACAAAAACAAAACAATAACACATTGTCTTGAGTCTCAAGGTAGTAAGTCTCCCACAGAAACATCAACACAATACCAAAAATGAAATGTCAATCAAGAATCTCATGTTGAAAGTTGAAAGTTGTAAATTCATCGAGGAATTTCACATTCACTAAACCAAAAATTAAACTGAATATTCTATATTTACACAAGCTCGCCTTTTTAAAGTTTTATATTTTAAACATTGCTTCTTTGGCCGTACTTTGGCTGCGAGGGAGTGCGGTCGTTTTTCAACCAGAAGGTTGTGGGTTCGATCCCAGCCCATGCAGTCAACATGTCGATGTATCCTTGGGCAAGATACTGAACCCTGAGTTGCTCCCGATGGCCAACGGTGTGTGAATGTGTGTGAATGTTAGGTCCTAGAGTAAGGTACACTGCTCTGTGTGAATGTTAGGTCCTAGAGTAAGGTGCACTGCTCTGTGTGAATGTTAGGTCCTAGAGTAAGGTACACTGCTCTGTGTGAATGTTAGGTCCTAGAGTAAGGTGCACTGCTCTGTGTGAATGTTAGGTCCTAGAGTAAGGTACACTGCTCTGTGTGAATGTTAGGTCCTAGAGTAAGGTACACTGCTCTGTGTGAATGTTAGGTCCTAGAGTAAGGTGCACTGCTCTGTGTGAATGTGTGTGAATGTTAGGTCCTAGAGTAAGGTACACTGCTCTGTGTGAATGTTAGGTCCTAGAGTAAGGTGCACTGCTCTGTGTGAATGTTAGGTCCTAGAGTAAGGTGCACTGCTCTGTGTGAATGTTAGGTCCTAGAGTAAGGTGCACTGCTCTGTGTGAATGTTAGGTCCTAGAGTAAGGTACACTGCTCTGTGTGAATGTTAGGTCCTAGAGTAAGGTACACTGCTCTGTGTGAATGTTAGGTCCTAGAGTAAGGTGCACTGCTCTGTGTGAATGTTAGGTCCTAGAGTAAGGTACACTGCTCTGTGTGAATGTTAGGTCCTAGAGTAAGGTGCACTGCTCTGTGTGAATGTGTGTGAATGTTAGGTCCTAGAGTAAGGTACACTGCTCTGTGTGAATGTTAGGTCCTAGAGTAAGGTGCACTGCTCTGTGTGAATGTGTGTGAATGTTAGGTCCTAGAGTAAGGTACACTGCTCTGTGTGAATGTTAGGTCCTAGAGTAAGGTACACTGCTCTGTGTGAATGTTAGGTCCTAGAGTAAGGTACACTGCTCTGTGTGAATGTTAGGTCCTAGAGTAAGGTACACTGCTCTGTGTGAATGTTAGGTCCTAGAGTAAGGTACACTGCTCTGTGTGAATGTTAGGTCCTAGAGTAAGGTGCACTGCTCTGTGTGAATGTTAGGTCCTAGAGTAAGGTGCACTGCTCTGTGTGAATGTTAGGTCCTAGAGTAAGGTGCACTGCTCTGTGTGAATGTTAGGTCCTAGAGTAAGGTGCACTGCTCTGTATGAATGTTAGGTCCTAGAGTAAGGTACACTGCTCTGTGTGAATGTTAGGTCCTAGAGTAAGGTGCACTGCTCTGTATGAATGTTAGGTCCTAGAGTAAGGTACACTGCTCTGTGTGAATGTTAGGTCCTAGAGTAAGGTACACTGCTCTGTGTGAATGTTAGGTCCTAGAGTAAGGTGCACTGCTCTGTGTGAATGTTAGGTCCTAGAGTAAGGTGCACTGCTCTGTGTGAATGTTAGGTCCTAGAGTAAGGTACACTGCTCTGTGTGAATGTTAGGTCCTAGAGTAAGGTACACTGCTCTGTGTGAATGGGTGTGAATGTTAGGTCCTAGAGTAAGGTGCACTGCTCTGTGTGAATGTTAGGTCCTAGAGTAAGGTGCACTGCTCTGTGTGAATGTTAGGTCCTAGAGTAAGGTACACTGCTCTGTGTGAATGTTAGGTCCTAGAGTAAGGTACACTGCTCTGTGTGAATGGGTGTGAATGTTAGGTCCTAGAGTAAGGTGCACTGCTCTGTGTGAATGTTAGGTCCTAGAGTAAGGTGCACTGCTCTGTATGAATGTTAGGTCCTAGAGTAAGGTACACTGCTCTGTGTGAATGTTAGGTCCTAGAGTAAGGTACACTGCTCTGTGTGAATGGGTGTGAATGTTAGGTCCTAGAGTAAGGTGCACTGCTCTGTGTGAATGTTAGGTCCTAGAGTAAGGTGCACTGCTCTGTATGAATGTTAGGTCCTAGAGTAAGGTACACTGCTCTGTGTGAATGGGTGTGAATGTTAGGTCCTAGAGTAAGGTACACTGCTCTGTGTGAATGGGTGAATGACATGTAGTATGTAAAGCGCTTTGAGGGGTCTTAGAGACTGGATAAAGCGCTATATAAGTACAGTCCATTTACCATTTACTTTAAACATCAAAATTAAAACATCTTATAGCGTAAGTCAAAGTCTTACTCTACCTATTTGTCTATAAAGTGAAGATTTGTTTACCTACTACTGATACAAGCTCTGATAGAATAACTGTATGCTGTTGAAAAACCCCAATAAAGAAAGTTTGTGACGAAATGACTGCACTCCCGGTTTGATCCTGCGTTGTGTCTCTGTATGTCGTGTTGTTTGCATGATGACTCCCGCAGCGGGAAAGACGGGGCTGGAGAAGGAGCAGGAGTTCATCAGGAAGTGTATGGAGAGTCTCCTGCTGGCCTCAGCCAACCTGGAGAAGGACGCCCACTCCAGCCTGACGAGCATCGAGAGGGGGCTGCTGATGCTCAAAACTCACCTGGAGGCCTTCAGACGCAGGTAGGCACAGCAGGAAGCCTCACAGCAGCAGCAAGGACATGAATGATTGTATATAAACGTCTCAACCAGTGGTGCCTACTTAGCACGCCTGTTTATAATATTTCATTCATCATACTAGTCTGGTTATTGTTATTATATGATGGATTATATGTTTTTTAGGATGACTTATATTTGTTCTATAAAATGTTCTATTAAATTAAATACACATTTGAAAACCAGTTTATGGAGTATTTATAGTTTTTAGTTTAAGCTCTGGTTTTTAAATCTACGAGAAGTTGGTGTGCCTTGGGGTCAAGACATTTTTCAGGGGTGCCTTGGTAAACAACACTTTATCTAAACCACATTATCCGGTCCTCCTTCAGGTTTGCGTACCACCTGAGGCAGTGGCAGATCGAGGGCACGGGGATCAGCAGCCACCTGAAGGCTCTGAGCGACAAACAGTCCCTGCCTCTGAGGATCGTCTGCCAACCGGCAGGACTTCCTGACAAGGTGACACATCTACACCTGCATTTAGGGACAGACGCTGTGTACAGCTTACTCTGAAACATTTGAGTGGATCTCCTGGGCTCTTTGTAGATGCTTCTATTTACAAAGTAACACGCTGATGAGAAACCACGGACGCTACGAAGAGGACTTTTGAAAATAGTAGAAGTCGTTTTTTTTTTTTTTATTGCTTTGAAATAAACCTGATTCTGATCCTTAATACGTCCATGAGGGTCATGAACATAATCATCTGGAAATTATGAAATGCTATCATTGAAGTGCCCTTAAAGTCATTTTATATGAATGTATAATACTTCCAATTGTTTACCATCTTCCAATGAGATCCAGAGATTTTATTTGTGTTATTATGAAGCTGATCTTGGTGCTAAATACATAATTATTTTAAAATGCACACAGCCTGTATTTAAAAAAGTTGCTTAAAAATGAGCTTTTGAGGAAGGCAAGGTTTAGATTTCAAACTATACTATAACAACTTAGATATTTTCTCTTGTACACGGTTTCCCCTCAGAGGTAAACGGTGACTGTCACCAAAGTTCTAAATTATAATGTAAATGTCAACCTTTTGCATCTGTATATGTTCAAGGCTTTTATTGTCATTTGTGCAGTGTAGTTATGACAATGAGAATCTTAGGTCACAGGCTCCTCCAACAGTGCAACACAATAAAACTGATAAAATAGTGCAAGTAAATACAAATAGAATAGAACTAGTGCCATAAGAGTCTATAACTGAAATAAAGTGAAAAAAGGCAGAGTTGGAGAGGAGCAGAAGACACGGCAGCCATCATCACCGGCGCCATCTTTTCAGCACTTTATACTATGTTATTTTTATTTGCAGATGACGATCGAGATGTACCCGAGCGACCAGGTGGCAGACCTGCGAGCGGAGGTGACTCACTGGTACGAGAACCTGCAGAAGGAGCAGATGAACCAGCAGGCTCAGCTGCAGGAGTTCGGACAGAGCGGCCGGCAGCCCGCAGACTTCCCAGGTCAGCACCCATTAGATTGTTGATTAACAAACAAACAAACATGTCTCCAACAGCTGTGTGACTCTCGGCATGTCCCCCTACATTTAGAAGTGTGTGTTTTCACTATAGGAGGTCTGATGGGTCCGGTCCGGATGATCTCCTCCGGCCACGAGCTGACCACCGACTACGACGAGAAGACTCTGCACGAGCTCGGCTTCAAAGACATGCAGGTGACTGCCGGCTTTCTGTCCTTCCTACCTAAAAAGATCAACTTTCATTAATACCTCAGAGGAAAGTCAGGTGTCACGAGCGATAAGAGTGAAACACAGGATATGAAAAATAAGAGTTCACAGAAGAATATTAAGAATAGAAAATGTAATAAGAAAGAAGGTATATATATATATAGATCAGGGTTTCCGTTAGCCGGTAATTACAGTTTTTTAGCCTGTAAAATGTATTAAAAACCGGTAAATTCAAAATGTCCGGTAATAATTAGGGATGCTCCGATCGATTGGCCGCCGGTCATTATCGGCCGATATTCACTCTTAATAGTTTGATCGGTGCTCTCTATAAAGCCCGATCAGGAGAGCTGGATCTGATCGATATGGACATAAACGCGAGTGAAGTATAACCGGACGAGAGAGAGATCAGTTTAAACATCAGCATATCCGGTCATAGTGCGGTAATTACCTGCTAACGGAAACTCTGCTACACAATTATTATTATTATTATTATTGAAACATGACAGGTAAGTTTCAGATTTGTCCGGTAAGAAAAAATCCTAGCGGAAACCCTGATATATATATATATATATATATATATATATATATATATATATATATATATATATATATATATATATAAATAAATAAATAAAATAACAACAACACTAGATAAAACAGTTTACAAGGATACACATATAAATACAAATGAATATTATAAATGTCTATGAGAAAGTGTGAGTCTAAGTAGTTGCATAATGACATAACAATACAGAAACAACCATTTACAGTTCGGTTGGATACGCTGGTCTAAATTTCACCAAATGTTCCAAAGCGTACCTTTTTTTGTTTTGCATTATTTCTAACTATACATCATTTTCACAATACACACAAAAGCCAATTTCTTGTACATGTTTTGCTCTTGAAATAATAATAATAATAATAAGTTAGGTTTATATTGCGCTTTCAGGGGACCCAAGCAATGTTCAACCCAGCTGATCACTGATATCCTACTCTTTCTCCCCAGATGGTGTTCGTGTCTCTGGGCGCTCCTCGCAGGGAGAGGAAGGGGGAGGGCGTGCAGCTGCCGGCCTCCTGCCTGCCCCCCCCCCCAGAAGGAGCACATCCCCATGCTGCTCCTCCTGCAGGAGCCGCACCTCACCACGCTGTTTGACCTGCTGGAGATGCTGGCCTGCTTCAAACCTCCCAACCCCAACACGGAGAAGCTCAACGAAAACCCAGAGGTGAGTGTTTTTAAACTTACCTCGGCATGTCAGTCTTAAAGTATTCATGAAAGCAATTCATAATGAGGACAACAAGATTATATGAGCTGTGCTATAACATGAAATGTGTGTTTTTGGTAAATATTTGTATTGATTTTCTCAGTTTTTTAACAAAAGCAAGTGATACATATTCAGTAAAGATATATACACACATGCTGACAAATCAAAATCTTCATTTCAATCCTGTTTTTGACTTACCTAGCATGTCTGACTTAAAGTATTAAAGGTGTCCTATCATGCAAAATGCACTTTTTTATGTCTTTTATACATAAATATGTGTCCCCGGTGTGTCAGTAGACTTACAAAGTGTCAGAAAATAAAACCCTCTCTCTTTTCCTCCGTACCCAAATCTCTAAAAACGGGGCTATAACGGAGCTGATCCAGATTTGCGTCCGATATGACGTAATATCTGAAATGTGGACCCACGGCCCTATCAGAAACGTTGCTCTCAGAAACAATGCCCGACTGTTTTGGACGTAATATGGTCTTTGTTTACATTAGCATCGCTAACACTCAGAGCTAACCTGTACTGGAGAGCATGTGTGTGAAGAAGCAGGAAATAAAAAGGAACTCACCTTGTGGTATAACCGGCAAGAGAGAAAGCCTTTGAGCTCCAAACTGTTTCAGAAATAATCCTTGATGTGGTTTTGAACATGATATGGCGTTTAATCGCGGCATTTAGTTGTATCTCGTAGAATTCTGAGCAGGCATTCGCTTTTTTTTTAAAGCTACGGACCCAGAATCAGCAGTTCTCTAACGGGGCTGGAATAGAAAGATATTGAGCAAAACACATCAGACATGTTTTTTATGTATTTGTATATATCTGAGACCCATAATATATGCCTTAAAAATAGCATGATAGGAGATCTTTAAAGTATTCATGTACGCAACTCATAATGAGATTATATGAGTGTTTTTGACTTACCTTGGCACGTCTGACTTAAAGTATTAATCTAAGCAACTCATAATGAGGACAACAGGATTATATGAGCTTTGTTATAACATGAATGTGTGTTTTTGTTTTAAAGCAGAGTGCACGGTGTGAGGAGCTTCACCTCCACGCAGAGAATCTGTCCCGGCGGGTTTGGGAGCTGCTGATGCTTCTTCCTACATGTCCCAAGATGCTTCAGGCCTTCCAGAACATCTCAGACGACACGGTCAGTCACCACACTTCACAAACAACCTTCAGAAGTTAATGGAAATAGAGAGCAGATTTAATGTACACCTGTAGATTTCGGTGCTTTTTTTTTTTAACCAACACTACAAGTAAACATAACAAAGAGAAAAATACAGAAATCAAGTTCATTAGGAGGAAATAGACAATGCAGTCACACATTCAAGTTGCTGTACGTTGTATCTGTCGGACAGAGATGAACTGAGTGTGTGTTTCTGTGCAGAATGGGGAGGGTCTGTGCTGGAAGGAGCTCCTGAGGATCAAAAGCCCCCACAAGCTGCTCTACGCTCTGGAGATCATCGAGGCTCTGGGAAAACCCAACAGACGCATCCACCGAGAGTCCACTGTGAGAGAAACACCATCATTTTGATTTTATTTAACATATGTACTTCTGGTTTGTCAATTTTGTTGACATTTTTTTTTAGCCAAGTAAACAGTATTTCCTAAAAGCCTCATAGATAGAATACAAGTATAATCTTTCTTGTTTTCATTTTGATGCTGAGACATGTGTATATTGGTTCGTAAACACACACGTATGAAAACACACCTGCTTGTGTGAGGTGAACAAAATATTACAAATGAACATATTAAAGGATTTTTAGCAGGTAAATAATTGGTACTTAGCAGTGATCGTTAAAATAAGAAATGTTTGTAATCTGACAATTTGTGTGTGTGTGTGTGTGTGTGTGTGTGTGTGTGTGTGTGTGTGTGTGTGTGTGTGTGTGTGTGTGTGTGTGTGTGTGTGTGTGTGTGTGTGTGTGTGTGTGTGTGTGTGTGTGTGTGTGTGTGTGTGTGTGTGTGTGTGTGTGTGTGTGTGTGTGTGTGTGTGTGTGTGTGTGTGTGTGTGTGTGTGTGTGTGTGTGTGTGTGTGTGTGTGTGTGTGTGTGTGTGTGTGTGTGTGTGTGTGTGTGTGTGTGTGTGTGTGTGTGTGTGTGTGTGTGTGTGTTTTCAGGGCAGCTACAGCGATCTTTATCCAGACTCTGACGACTCCAGCGAGGATCAGATAGAAAACAGCAAGAACACCTGGAGCTGCAAGGTACCACATATTATATCTGTTACAGAAGAATACACTTTATTGAACTGTTGTTTTTAGACCTTAAGGCTCTCAAAAACTACATTTTATTCCATTAGGGTCACTTTCACTGTATTTAAAGGTCCCATGTCATGGCCATTTCTACTGATCATAATTCCATTGTTGAGGTCTACTAGAATATATTTATATTGTGCAATTTTCCAAACACTTCTCATACAGCATCTCTGTATAGTATGTGTATTCACTCTCTGTCCTAAACGGCTTGTTGGAGCTCCTGCCCCCCCCCCCCCTCCCTGTGAGCCCAATGGCCGACAGCGAGACACAGCGAAACCCAGCCCGAAACACACACACCCCCGCAGCCTGGCTGGGAGTTTGTGTGTGTGCCCAGGCTGAGTTCCGCGGTGTCTCGCTGTCTCGCCGACCCCACACCAGTGAGCCAGCTCACAGTGTCCCGCTCCTCGCAGCAGCGAGCCTCGCAACGTCCCGCCGAGTGTGTGTGTGAGGAAGTCCGCGGATTGGTCCAAACGTAACGGCTCCGCGGACGTTACGTTACGTCACTATACCCGAAATACGTCACTATACCCAAGAAGTAAACAATGGAAAAAGATAAATGTCCAACGAGGCGTTCTGGGGCAGCATAGACAGGTCTTTTCTGTGTTAGAGTTTTACTCGCTACAGGGTGTACTTTGAGGGTTTGTGACTCTGCAGACCGTTTACATGCAGAAAAACCTTCATAACACACAAGGGGACGGGTAATAACCAGAAAAGCATGACATGGGACCTTTTAAACTTTAGTTTTTAAGTAAAGATGCAAATATAACGACAATAAACAACATGATGGATCTCTTGTCGTTTTATCTGCAAACCAAATCTACCTGTGGATCAGTAAAAACACATCTGCTCATGTAGAATATAAAAAACATACATTAGAAACTGTTATTGTTAGATTGAATATGTGTCTTTCTGTCCTCCAGTTCGTCTCCTCTGGAGGTCTGCAGCTTCTCCTGGAGATCTTCAACTCGGGCATCCTGGAGCCCAAAGACCAGGAGTCCTGGACTGTGGTGAGAGAGAACACCTGCCTTTGGAGTCAAATCAACTTTAAAGGGGAAACAATCAATAATACGAACTTCCATTCATGGAATAAGGTCGGCCCAGACCCTAGGGGTTTTTAAATCAAAACTAAAAACACACTTCTTCTCTCTGGCTTTCTAGTTAGAGCGGAGCACGACTCCTGACTTTTCCGTGTGTTTTATTTTTATTTTGTTTTTAAGATATATCTGTTGTAATTTATTGTCGTTTATTGTGATTTGTAGCAATGTGTTTTTATTACATGTACAGCACTTTGGCTCGACCAAAAAACGCTTTTAAATGTGCTTTATAAATAAAACCTGATTTGATTTGATTTGAATAAGTTCTTTGATTTGTGTGTTTATTAACAAAGCTGCATGTTGTAAACCCTCACAGCTGCTTGTGGGATCTTCATGAGTTCATGACAACCCAAACAAAATAAACAATGCAACACAGCTATAGATACAAATACAGAGATAAAATAAAACATGAAATGCCGTTGGGAGTCACATTCTCATTTGACCATTTGTCAGAACAGTTCCTCTTACGCAGTCAGTTTTCCTTGTCGCTGGTTTGATTCTTAAATATTGACCATTTCCCCCATTCCTCTTCATATTGTGTTTCCTGCAATGAGTGTGTGTTTGTAATCTCTCCTCTCTCCGTCTCCTCCTCAGTGGCTGCTCGACTGCCTCGCCTGCCTGCAGAAGTTGATCTGTCAGTTTGCCGTGGACCCAGCTGATCTGGACCTGGCGTACCACGACGTCTTCTCCTGGTCCGGCCTCGCAGACAGTCAGCGCAAACGAGCGTGGCCGGGGAAATCACGCAAATCCACCGTGGAGCACGGGAAGGGTCTGCACATCCCTCGACTCACTGAGGTAAATGTTCCACTAGATAGAAAAAACTAAAAAGCTGTAAGTGATTATTCTGGGATTGAATGATCTGTTGGTTTCCAGGTGTTCCTCAGCCTGGTTCAGGGTACTAACCTCATCCAACGCTTGATCAACGTGGCCTACACCTACGACAACCTCGCACACAGGTGAGCACTACACATGTTCTTCTGGTACTTCATATACTTTCAGATATTTAAATACTTTTTAAAATACTAAATATATATCAAGTATAATTTGCATGTGGTCTTTTTGTTCAACAGAGTTCTTAAGGCTCAGTCTGACCACAGGTCTCGTCATGAAGGTGAGAACTGATTACAAATGATACCCATTAACATTTGGCATTCATTCTATTCACACGCTGATACAATTCTGAAAGTTAGAAGGAAAGAGAAACTTCAACATCTCTCAACTCAAATAAGAAAACCCATCTGAGTTTAGTTTGACAGTGATATGACTGTGATGTTTCTTTCTTCCTCCCCAGTGACCCACTACTCCATGTGGCTGCTGGTCAGCTGGGCCCACTGCTCCTCCACTGTGAAGTCCAGTCTGGCCGACAGCGACCATCTTCACGACTGGCTGAAGAAACTCACGCTGCTGGTGCCTGAGGTGAGACTGGAAACAGTTTTAAAACAAACTCATGCCGACCAGTTCACTTACTATGATCTTATGAACACCACAGAGGAAGAGCACAGGCAGAGTTAAAGGTCCCCTATTATACTGTTTTTCATCCATTTATTATAGGTCTCAGTTATATACAGAACATGTCTCTGAAGTGTTTTGCTCCAAACAGATCATTGCAGCATTACCCATAATCCCCTCTGTTTCAGCCCTGTTTCAAAAGTGCTGATTCTGTGTCTGTAGCTTTAAATGCTAATGAGCTGCTGCTGGCCACGCCCCTCTGAGAGATATTTGGTTAAAAAGAACACAATGGTGCTCTAGGAGGAGATTCAGGTGATAAGGTGGGTGGGGGGGGGGGTTACCTTGGTTGGTGATTGGCTAATGGTTACACAAGACAAAACATCGTTATGACATCATAAAGTGGCCAAAATCTGATCAGCTCATTTTCAGACAGGTTTTTATATAAATGGATCAGGACAAAAAGAGAGGGAATCTTTGTTCCTGAAACTTTCAGAGTCTCTTTACACAGAGGGGACACATGGTGATGTAGAAGAGACATGAAGAAGAGGGGACACATGTTGATGTAGAAGAGACATGAAGAAGAGGGGACACATGCTGATGTAGAAGAGACATGAAGAAGAGGGGACACATGTTGATGTAGAAGAGACATGAAGAAGAGGGGACACATGTTGATGTAGAAGAGACATGAAGAAGAGGGGACACATGCTGATGTAGAAGAGACATGAAGAAGAGGGGACACATGTTGATGTAGAAGAGACATGAAGAAGAGGGGACACATGTTGATGTAGAAGAGACATGAAGAAGAGGGGACACATGTTGATGTAGAAGAGACATGAAGAAGAGGGGACACATGTTGATGTAGAAGAGACATGAAGAAGAGGGGACACATGTTGATGTAGAAGAGACATGAAGAAGAGGGGACACATGTTGATGTAGAAGAGACATGAAGAAGAGGGGACACATGCTGATGTAGAAGAGACATGAAGAAGAGGGGACACATGTTGATGTAGAAGAGACATGAAGAAGAGGGGACACATGTTGATGTAGAAGAGACATGAAGAAGAGGGGACACATGTTGATGTAGAAGAGACATGAAGAAGAGGGGACACATGTTGATGTAGAAGAGACATGAAGAAGAGGGGACACATGTTGATGTAGAAGAGACATGAAGAAGAGGGGACACATGTTGATGTAGAAGAGACATGAAGAAGAGGGGACACATGTTGATGTAGAAGAGACATGAAGAAGAGGGGACACATGTTGATGTAGAAGAGACATGAAGAAGAGGGGACACATGTTGATGTAGAAGAGACATGAAGAAGAGGGGACACATGTTGATGTAGAAGAGACATGAAGAAGAGGGGACACATGTTGATGTAGAAGAGACATGAAGAAGAGGGGACACATGTTGATGTAGAAGAGACATGAAGAAGAGGGGACACATGTTGATGTAGGAGAGACATGAAGAAGAGGGGACACATGTTGATGTAGAAGAGATATGAAGAAGAGGGGACACATGTTGATGTAGAAGAGACATGAAGAAGAGGGGACACATGTTGATGTAGAAGAGACATGAAGAAGAGGGGACACATGTTGATGAAGAAGAGACATGAAGAAGAGGGGACACATGTTGATGAAGAAGAGACATGGAGAAGAGGGGACACATGTTGATGTAGAAGAGACATGAGGAAGTGGATTTTGCATAATAGGTGACCTTTTAAGTTAAAGGTACATGAATTAGAAAACTCTTTAAGCAATAAACAAGCAGCAGGTAGACTTCACATCTGTGGTTCAGAGCTAAGAAATAAAGTGTAGAATTCTTCAAAACACTTGTTTCTTTAGTTTGTTGTCTGACGTGTGGTGTTTGTTTTCAGCCGGCGGTGAGACACGAGGCGTGTAACGGCCTCTACAAGCTGTCTCTGTCGGGGCTGGAGAGCGGAGAGTCCATCAACAGATCCTTCCTGCTGCTCGCCGCCTCCACGTTGCTCAAGTTCCTGCCCGACGCTCAGGCCCTCAAACCACTCAGGGTGGGTCTCACACACACACACACACACACACACACACACACACACACACACACACACACACACACACACTAGAATATAATACATGAAATATAGTATTGTGGTACACTAGTAGTCGGTAGTGATACAATTGATAAACTCTAATCAAGACAGGTTCTGCCCAAAATTAAGCATCTAATTGACAAGATTTAAGTTTAAAACAAATCTGGTTTACCTTTAAATCACATCACAGCAGACACTTTGCCGACATAGACTGAAACTGTGTGATGTCTATGATTTAAATTCACTTTAAAAGAGTGCAAAATGTGTGCTCTTTTCTGTTAAAAAGTGAGTTTGATGCTAATGTGTGTTTGCTGCAGGTGGAGGACTATGAGGAGGAGCCTCTGCTGAAGACGGGCTGTAAGGAATACTTCTGGCTGCTCTGCAAACTCATCGACAACATCCACGTTAAAGACGCCAGCCAGGTGAGACCCTTACCCTAACTCACTCACTGATGATCATATATATCTGTTTATTTAAAGGTCACCTATCATGCAAAATCCACTTGTTCATGTCTCTTCTACATCAACATGTGTCCCCTCTTCTTCATGTCTCTTCTACATCACCATGTGTCCCCACTTCTTCATGTCTCTTCTACATCACCATGTGTCCCCTCTTCTTCATGTCTCTTCTACATCAACATGTGTCCCCTCTTCTTCATGTCTCTTCTACATCAACATGTGTCCCCTCTTCTTCATGTCTCTTCTACATCAACATGTGTCCCCTCTTCTTCATGTCTCTTCTACATCAACATGTGTCCCCTCTTCTTCATGTCTCTTCTACATCAACATGTGTCCCCTCTTCTTCATGTCTCTTCTACATCAACATGTGTCCCCTCTTCTTCATGTCTCTTCTACATCACCATGTGTCCCCTCTTCTTCATGTCTCTTCTACATCAACATGTGTCCCCTCTTCTTCATGTCTCTTCTACATCAACATGTGTCCCCTCTTCTTCATGTCTCTTCTACATCAACATGTGTCCCCTCTTCTTCATGTCTCTTCTACATCAACATGTGTCCCCTCTTCTTCATGTCTCTTCTACATCAACATGTGTCCCCTCTTCTTCATGTCTCTTCTACATCAACATGTGTCCCCTCTTCGTCACGTCTCTTCTACATCAACATGTGTCCCCTCTTCTTCATGTCTCTTCTTCATCAACATGTGTCCCCTCTCTGTAAAGAGACTCTGAAAGTTTCAGGAACAAAGATTCTCTCTCTTTTTGTCCTGATCCATTTATATAAAAACCTGTCTGAAAATGAGCTGATCAGATTTTGGCCACTTCATGATGTCATAACGATGTTTTGGCTTGTGTATCCATTAGCCAATCAGCAACCAAGGTAACCCCCCCCACCACCTTATCACCTGAATCTCCTCCTAGAGCACCATTGTGTTCTTTGTAACCAAATCTCTCTCAGAGGGGCGTGGGGAGGGGCTCCTTATTTTCATCTAAAGTAACAGACAGAGAATCAGCACTTTGGAAACAGGGCTGAAACAGAGGGGATTATGGGATGCTGCAATGATCTGTTTGGTGTTTCAGCCAATCAGAGACAGGCTCTGTATATATCTGAGACCTGTAATATATTGATGAAACACAGTATAATAGGGGACCTTTAATATGTTTGTAGCATTGCGTTGATGTGTCATGGAGCTGCTGCTAGTGTTGGTCTGTTTGAACTCACAGAAGGTCTCTCCCTCTCTGTCGCTGGCCACCCCGCTGCAGACGACGCTGCTCGACCTGGACGCTCTCGCTCGACACCTCGCTGACTGCATCCGGAGGTCAGAATCTGTGCTCTGAAAACACGAGATACATATATATTGTATAACTGTAAATGAATGAAATGAAAATGAATGTAAGTGTCCTGATGCTCTTCTAGGTAATCATACATCCTGTCATGTACACAGCTACGTAGGGCCTTTGTTATCATGTGTAATACCAAACATACTAAACATTTCAAGGACAGATATTCATGACCTGGTTGTTGTCTCTCTCCTTCAGCCGTGAGATCCTGGACCAGCAGGACGGGATGATCGAAGACGACGGGTTGACCGGCCTCCTGCGTCTCGCCACCAGCGTCCTCAAACACAAACCTCCCTTCAAGTTCTCGCGCGAGGGTCAGGAGTTCCTGCGCGACGTGCACAACCTCCTCTTCCTCCTGCCCAGCCTGGCAGACCGCGCTCAGCCCAAATGTAAATCGCACGCCGCCCGGGCCGCCGCCTACGACCTGCTGGTGGAGACGGTGAAGGGATCCGTGGAAAACTACCGGCTGCTGCACAACTGGGTCATGTCCCAGCACATGCAAGGTGAGGAAGCGAACTACTTGTCTTCTTATATCTAGAGTTGGTTACCAGGTAGAACAGAACTCTCTCTACTCTCTTGTTGCTGCTTTGACACCTGATTTATGAGGGTTTAACTTGTCTTAAAATGGCTAGCAGTAAAAACAGATAAGTGAGGTCTTCAACTTTCAAAATGTAATTTACTTTAGGTCTGAAAGTTTGCTACCCCAGCTGTTTGAAATAGAAATATCTCTGTGGTTGTTTGTGTTTAAATTGTCCGACAGATAAGTTAGTGAACATTTAAAGAGGGGCATGAACTGTCACTATCAGTGAGGCGTTTTCTAAAGTTCCTCCACTACCTGCTTAGCTTATCATGTTTTCTGTTATTTTAATTTCAGCCGGTCTTTGTATCTTTGTATATTTTCTGAAAGTGTACTATTACAATATTTTTGGTTACCTTTTTCCAAAACGGACACATAAGCGTGCAGAGATTTCCTTGTAAACAAAACTTTACAGACGAAAGATTGATATAGTTGTGAGACAAGGCAAGTTTATTTATAGGACATGTCAGACAGTAAGGCATTTCATAGTGCACTTCCTAAAGTACATATACAGTATATCTAATTATACAAAGAATAAATACGTGCATATAATCGTCTGCAAGCTACACTCTGTGTCAGAAGTCCTCTGGGACGATGATCTGGCTCAATTTGAGTTTTGCTAAAGTGAATCCAGTTTGTTTCTGTGAGACATTGTTCCTCTGGTGGGACTAATGCTGGAGACTCTGGGACAGCCTCAATGAACTAAACAGTTAATGTGCTTAAAAACTACAACAAAAAGCTCATATAGATAGTTCATAGAAATATTGATTAATGTACATTTAATTGGTATTTTACAGGGCAAACGACCAGCTTGTACACCAAAGAAGCCACGCTCTACATGTCCTAATTAACTACATTGTTCTTTTATCCATCCTCCAGCTTCTCACGCTCCGTATAAGTGGGACTACTGGCCCCACGACGATGTTCGGGCCGAGTGTCGCTTCGTGGGTCTGACTAACCTCGGGGCCACGTGTTACCTGGCCTCCACCATCCAGCAGCTCTACATGATCCCCGAGGCGCGGCAGGCCGTGTTCACCGCCAAGGTCAGTGCCTGCAGGACGAACTGAGGGCACGAAAACATCATTCAGATTAAGAAGAGTGTGTGGATTCTTATACTGTGTTTGTGTGTGTGTGTGTGTGTGTGTGTGCAGTACGCTGAGGATATCAAACACAAGACCACGCTGCTGGAGCTGCAGAAGATGTTCACATATCTCATGGTGAGTTTTATTCAATTCAAGGCTTGATTGTCATGTGCACATTAGTTTGTCATTGCCATATCTACACTGTAGCTAAAGTCACAGGCTCCTCTAACAGGGCAACATGAATATATATATAGGACATAGAACTAATAAAACAGATGTACGTGTTTTAAAATCATCTACTTTGGATTTTGAGATTCATTCTATAGAGAGCAGAGGTTAGTAATACAAATAGTAACCATACATGTGAAAAACGTGCACCGCCGCCCTAGATTCAAGTGTGTTATTTTCTTTTATAGGGCACAAACAGAAGGTTAAAGTGGACCTATCATGCTATATTTGAATAATATAGTGTAGGACCATACCTATATAAGGCATATTTATACTTTTTTTTTTTCAAAATACCAAACAGATCATGCATTTTAGCCATGCCTCATTTTGCTCAATTTGACATTTTTTAGATCTGTTTTTGCAAGGGCAGATTCAGTGAGAACAGCACCACCTACAGGCCTGGCATATGTACTACAGCGTCTCCAGCGCTTTAGAACGGCAATGGCCGTGGCTGTCTCCTCCTGATTGGTGGAGTTGGCCCAATAGCCGTAGCGCCACCGTCCTGACGTCAGGACAGTGTTCAAATCTGGATCAGTTTTTATCAGATCCGTTGCAGCCCCTTTTTTAGAGATTTGGGTATGGAGGAAAATAGAGAGGGTTGTGTTTTCTGACACTTGGTGAGTTCCCTGGAACACCGGGGACACATATTCATGTAGAAAAGACGTACAAAAGTGCATTTTGCATGATAGGTCCCCTTTAAAGGAATAGCTCATCCTAACACAATATACATTATAAAAAGTTCCACTTCTTAGGAAATATACACACTTTTACAAGCAAGCTACACTCTGTGTCAGAAGTCCTCTGGGACGATGATCTGGCTCAATTTGAGTTTTGCTAAAGTGAATCCAGTCTGTTTCTGTGAGACATAGTTCCTCTGCTGGGACTAATGCTGGAGACTCTGGGACAGCCTCAATGAACTAAATCAATGTTTTAAAATGATCTAATCTACTCGCCTGTTGGTTAAATTGATTACCTGTCTTCAAGTTAATTTTCTGACTTGATTTAATCCAGAAAATATGTGCTAAATGAATCTATAAAGAACATAAGCTTTAGTTTCATCCGTACTAACGGCACAGGACTCATTTGAAGCTCTGCAGACACAGAGTTTGAACAACAACACCACGACTCTTTCATTATCTAAACCTAATCTAATCTAAACCCTCTCTGTCTCCAGGAGAGCGAGAGGAAGGCGTACAACCCTCGTCCGTTCTGTAAAACGTACACGATGGACAAACAGCCGCTGAACACCGGCGAGCAGAAGGACATGACGGAGTTCTTCACCGACCTCATCACCAAGATCGAGGAGATGTCCCAGGAGCTGGTAAACACACACACCTTCACACACACACCTTCACACACACAAACAAACACCTTCACACACACTGCTTCACACGCACTGCTTCACACGCACTGCTTCACACGCACCGCTTCACACACACCGCTTCACACACACTGCTTCACACACACTGCTTTACACACACTGCTTTACACACACACTGCTTCACACACACACTGCTTCACACACACACTGCTTTACACACACTGCTTTACACACACTGCTTTACACACACTGCTTCACACACACTGCTTTACACACACTGCTTCACACACACTGCTTCACACGCACTGCTTCACACGCACTGCTTCACACGCACTGCTTTACACACACTGCTTTACACACACTGCTTCACACACTGCTTTACACACACTGCTTTACACACACACTGCTTCACACACACACTGCTTCACACACACTGCTTCACACACACTGCTTTCACACACACTGCTTTACACACACTGCTTTACACACACTGCTTCACACACACTGCTTCACACACACTGCTTCACACACACTGCTTCACACACACTGCTTTACACGCACTGCTTCACACGCACTGCTTTACACGCACTGCTTTACACACACTGCTTTACACACACTGCTTCACACACTGCTTTACACACACTGCTTCACACACACCGCTTTACACACACTGCTTCACACACACTGCTTCACACGCACCGCTTCACACACACCGCTTTACACACACTGCTTCACACACACCGCTTCACATACAGTGCTTCACACACACTGCTTCACACGCACCGCTTCACACACACTGCTTCACACACACCGCTTCACACACACTGCTTTACACACACTGCTTTACACACACCGCTTCACACACACTGCTTCACACACACCGCTTCACACACACCGCTTTACACACACTGCTTTACACACACCGCTTCACACACACTGCTTTACACACACTGCTTTACACACACTGCTTTACACACACTGCTTTACACACACTGCTTTACACGCACCACTTCACATAAACCGCTTCACTCACACTCCTTCACGCACGCACGCACGCACGCACACACACACACACACACACACTCACACACACACACACCTTCCCACACACCACTTCACATAAACCGCTTCACACACACACACACACACACGCACACGCACACGCACACGCACACGCACACACACCACTTCACACATCAGACTGACAACTCCTATGCCAATGTATTCTTGTGTATTCTCCAAATGTGTCTTCTATTTTCTCCTTAAAGAAAACACAACTTCACTATAAACATTTGAATATTTCCTGACAATTACATCGTTACATAAATACGTGCATATAATCATCTGCAAGCTACACTCTGTGTCAGAAGTCCTCTGGGACGATGATCTGGCTCAATTTGAGTTTTGCTAAAGTGATCCCAGTCTGTTTCTGTGAGACATTGTTCCTCTGGTGGGACTAATGCTGGAGACTCTGGGACAGACCTCAATAAACTACACTATAAATGACACTATACATGTGCTCATTGACTCAGACTAATAACTCCCTAAATTGCATAACTGTGTTAACATATTTAAAAGCATGAGTAATAGTTTATCATCCTGAAGTTTGATGAATGTGTTTTATTTTCTCTCACAGAAAAACACAGTGAAGACTCTGTTCGGAGGCGTCATCACCAACAATGTGGTCTCTCTGGTGAGTTAGAGATTAACATATTTAACTTCCAAAAGTCGGTTATTTAGAGCTCAAATATTTGTATCTAATATAACATATTTGCATTTGTATTCTTTGCTCAATTATTATTTACTTTTTAAGTATTTATTTTAGGTCACACTTTTTTTCTTACAGCAGAATTAAAATATATTTTATTATTTAAAACCATTGATAGTGAAAAATATTGCCACTGCTTTTATTTTGAATTTATTGTATCAACTTCATATCTTCAGAGTGCACTATCCAGATGTAGTTCACAGGTTATAGTAGTTTATTTCAAGTGTTGGATGACTTTTAGTGAAACCTTTATCCGTCTTTTCCCTGCAGGACTGCGACCACGTCAGTCAGACCGCAGAGGAGTTTTACACGGTCAGATGTCAAGTGGCGGACATGAAGAACATCTACGTGAGTTAATAAAACACATCAGTGGTAGATTACAACTAAGTGTAAGGTACCTAATTATACATTTGAAGTACCTGCATTTCTCTTGAGTATTTCCATTGGATGCAGTTTTATAATTTGACTCCACTGCATTTGTAAGATAGCTGTAGTTACAAATGTATCTCAAATGTAGTGGTTTCTGATGAACGAAAGTATGAAGTGTAACTTTTATACGATGAGGCAATTCTCCTACTCGTTAATATCAATAAACTCTTGTGCGTAGCCTCCAAGCTAAAAACTGGGCTGTTTATTTGAGAAACTCATGAAAAGTTGACTTTTTGGAGATTTCTGATGGTGTGTTTTTTTTTAGGAATCTCTGGATGAAGTGACGATAAAGGACACTCTTGAAGGCGACAACATGTACACCTGCTCCCAGTGCGGCAAGAAGGTCCGCGCTGAGAAGAGGTCTGTGGATTTGTTTTAATTAAACTAACCCCGGGATTCCACCGGGTCCGTCTGCGCCGCGGTTTTGGTCCGACCCCGTCCTGCGTCATACCCAACCGGGCACGTTTCAGAAGCGGAGCGTCTTGCGTGCCGGCTCACAGTTTTTGTTGATTTGGGCATATTTCCTGGACAGGCTACTTTGTACAGACAAAGTTAATAATAATTGTAATATTCCAGTTATAAACGACATGAATCAAAGATGTGTTGCTGTATTTTAGTGGTAAAAAAATGCATTCATCATCATAATTATTCTATATATAATGTACACAGTGCCTGTAAACCGGAAGAGAACGCTGACATTTCTCCTAGGGCTGTGCGATTATGGCAAAAATCATAATCACGATTATTTTGGTCAATAATTGATATCAAGATTATTAAATAGGATTATTCATTGACTTTGAAAACATCCATTTATTGAACTTTAAAACAAATACAAATAATAATTTGAACAGTGTCTTTTTAACAGTTGATTACCCTGAATGTATAATTCAACTGAAAAACCAATACACAAATAAATGATATCAAAATAATAAATACCAATAATCAACAAATATTTTGGAGCGCACTTCAACAAGCTACTAAACATATATAAATATGATAAATACAAATAAATTAGATCAAATATGTCACAACCTAGCAAAGCAAAATAATCGTTTTTTTCGATTATGTTGTTTTCGTAATTGTGGCAGGCCAAAATCGTAATTGCGATTAAAATACGATTAATTGCACAGCCCTAATTTCTCCTCCTACTTGAAAGACTACGGAGGGATAGAGTCTGCAACATTTGTTTTTTTTGGCGATTGACTGGATGCTCTGACCGTTCCACTTCCTGCCCGGCGCTATGCAACGCCTCGCGTCGAAAATAGACTTGCATCCTATTTTTAGCGGAGCCCAGACGCTTCTGGGACGCTTCTGAGCCGTAACGCGGCGCGTCTGGTGGAATAGCACCCAATGACTAGAGTGGCCGCGATCGCTGTGAACGCCACGGCGCAGACTGACCCGGTGGAATCTAGGGGTAACAAGTGTAGCATCCTAACACCTGTTTTTGGGGTAGATATTAATTATAAACATTCATTATTACTTAAGACTGGAATGATCGGGTGTTTAGGTGTTTAGCTACAATGAAGGGTAACGTGTTTAGGGTAAATAATGATACCCTGCTCCTAAATAGATCCTTATAAACCGTATAGATGTTATGTTTTTATGTTGTGTATCGCCTGCATGTCCCGCCCTCTTACTGACCTCCACCAATTACCAGAGGTCAAACTAACTGATAACTGAAACAACCAATCAAACTGAAGAGCAGAAAGGCACAATCTGTGTACTTTTTGTTAGTTTACCCTCAATAGAACTAAATCACTTTGACTTTAACCGCCTTTCTGAATTATTTTCCAAAAACGTACTAGAAGCAAATGTATTTTAATCCTAATTCCTACACATGTAAAAAAACAACATGCAAGATTACAAAAAAAAAAGGGCAAGTTTCACAACTTCACCTGTAATGTATCTCACTCCATGCTTCGTCTCTCTTCCATCAGGGCGTGCTTCAAGAAGCTTCCGCGGATCCTGAGCTTCAACACCATGAGATACACCTTCAACATGGTGACGATGATGAAGGAGAAGGTCAACACACACTTCTCCTTCCCGCTGCGCCTCGACATGACGCCCTACACCGAGGACTTCCTCATGGGCAAGGGAGAGCGCAAAGAGGGTTCGTCCAAACATCAAGAAACACCTCAAACTAATCAAAATATCACAACAAATACCTACTGAATGTTACGTGTTTGGCTACATCATCAGACACACTGCAGAAGATGTGCAGTACATTTCTGATAAACTACATTAGTTTCTGAGCGTTGTCTGTCATATGTTGCAGGTTTTCGGGAAGAAGGAGAGGCAAAAGTCACGGAGAGCTACGAGTACGACCTCATCGGAGTCACGGTCCACACGGGCACAGCAGACGGCGGCCATTACTACAGCTTCATCAGAGACATCGTCAACCCACACGCCTACAAGAACAACAAGTGGTGAGTAGGGCTGTCACTATATCACAGTACATGGTAGTCAGACTATTATCATACCATCTACAATTGTCTGTCTTCAGTTTATAAGTCCTCACACACACACACACACACACACACACACACACACACACACACACACACCCCCCTACCTCATATTGTTTGTTAAAGTCTTATGCACCAGGTTTTTGAAAACGTTCAATATCAGATATGAAGTAGGATTTAAAAACCAATCTTCCTTCAGGTACCTGTTCAACGATGCCGAGGTGAAGCCCTTCGACTCGGCCCAGCTGGCCTCTGAGTGCTTCGGAGGAGAGATGACGGTACGAGCAGCAGTAAATAAATACACAAAATTAATTGTATTTGTCTCTTTTGGATTTTGCTGACATGAGTTTTATATTTCAGACTAAAACCTACGACTCCGTCACAGACAAGTTCATGGATTTCTCTTTTGAGAAGGTGAGGATCAGTTTCATTTTAAAATGTCCATGTCACCACGTTTGCTCCAGAAAGTAATAACGATAATAATGTTCTTTATCTCGCAGACACACAGTGCCTACATGCTCTTCTATAAGCGAGTGGAGCTGGAGGAGGAGAACGGGAAGGACTTCAGTTTTGACGTCTCTCCTGATCTGCTGGAGGTACCGTGGTTTCACTTTCTTTACACTTTGAATAATGTCAATACATGTATATAAAGTGACGTCTAATCTCTAATGTGCACGTCTGTCTCTTGCAGTGGATTTGGCACGACAACATGCAGTTTCTCCAGGACAAAAATATATTTGAACACACTTACTTTGGGTGGGTATCAATCAAATCTGTTACTGAGTTATGAGAGAGAATTAAACCAGTATTTTCTTATACTTATTCCTTTGTGTTCCTTCAGTTTCATGTGGCAGCTCTGCAGCAGCATCCCTAGCACGCTCCCCGACCCTAAAGCCGTCTCCCTCATGACCGCTAAGGTGAGCAATAATACAGCTTGAAGATAAGGTATAGCTCAGGGGTGTCAAACTCAAGGCCCGCTTCATTTTATGTGGCCTACAAGAGCTTGCAAAGAATATAATGCGTTTATTATACGGTTAGATGCCACTTTGCAAAAGCATGTTGCCCATAAACTACATGTCCCACAATGCATCTCATTTTGTGACATGGCACTGAAGAGACTTATAAGTTATTACCCTATCAGATAATAATCCAATGCAGAAGCAATAATGTAATATAATACTTTATTTTATATATATTATATATTTATATATGTATATTTATAAAGTCTTAAAGTTACAACCGGTCCTTTGAGTACAACCATAATGATGAAATTGAGTTTGACACCCCTGTAATATAGGTGGATTATATATATATATATATAATCATCTTTAAGTAGTTTTTAAGCGTTTTATTTATTGCAAAAATGACAAACAATCTTAATTGTTCAATCTTTTTGTTTTGTGTCATTAGAAATCTTAATATCTGTTTTTTCTGACCTTTTTATAGTCCAAATTAATCAAGGAAATAAATTAACTGAAGCCTAATCGGTACAAAAATCAATTAGTAGCAGCCACAGAAAAAATTGAAGGCATTCTGTTTGAAAAAAAACATTTCTGTCATTTTTTTCTTGGCACAAAACTGGTGGTAAATAAAAAATCTGTAAATTGTTTTGTCAAAATTGTTCGCATTTGATCACCGTTAATGTCCTTGTCTTCACAGCTCAGCACATCATTTGTCCTCGAGACTTTCATCCACTCCAAGGAGAAGGTAACGCCCTCTCAGCTGATTGTAGGACTTTTAATTTCTAACTAAAGTGTAGATGAACTGACTTCCTTCCTGCTCTCTGACCTCCAGCCCACGATGCTGCAGTGGATCGAGCTCCTGACCAAACAGTTCAACAACAGCCAGGCCGCCTGCGAGGTCAGAAACGAGCTTTAACCATTACTTACTCTCAGTATTATAATGTGTTGGTGCTCCTATATTTACTGTATGGTGTTTTCATTGAACTTCTCCTCTGTTTCAGTGGTTTTTGGATCGAATGGCGGATGATAACTGGTGGCCGATGCAGATCCTCATCAAGTGCCCCAATCAGATAGTCAGACAAGTGAGTTATTCATCTGATATAACATCATTTTAACATCAGGCGGTGCAAAATATATTGTTATTATCTATGTTGTGAAGTAAGACTAGATGTTACTTATATCTTAATGTTGTAGGCGTTGTCTCTTCCTGGTTTTAAAGACTGCATTACAGTTAACTCATGTGGTTTTCTCAATTTACAAGACTGTTCAAGCTCCTCTGACATTTCTTTACCCACTTATTCCTTGTATCCACATGACTGATAATCATTCATTATTCAGGACGCTCATTGTTTAAAACATTTGTGAACGCATCAATGGTCAGCATTACACTCTTGTTACTAGGGATGGGTATCATTAAGGTTTTAACGGTACTACTACTTTTATCTACTCCGCTTATCCATCCGGTCCTTTAACGGAAATTGTAAATAATGTGAACTTACAGAACTGTATAAAACAAACAAAAAACAAGTATTTACTGCATAAATACAGTGGTACAGAGCAACACAGGTGGGGCAGACAGGTATGCTGCAAAAGGCCGAACGGTTCTTCTGGAGGAAAATTAAGGCATACTTAACATACCTGACGTGGAAACGTTACTCGTCGAAAACGGTGCATTTCTCCGTCTGAATGTGGAGCACTTTTGCAAGATGTTTAGACAAATTGCTCGTGTTACTGCCCTTACATGCTAAACTATTATTGCACTTTTAACAATGAGCATTGTCCACATCGAGACGGGTAAAGTTGAACTAGGGCTGTGCAATTAATCGTATTTTAATCGCAATTACGATTTTGGCCTGCCACAATTACGAAAACAACATAATCGTAAAAAACGATTATTTTGCTTTGCTAGGTTGTGACAGTGCAACATATTTGATCTATTTAATTTAGTCTAATTTATTTGTATTTATCATATTTACATATGTTTAGTAGCTTGTTGAAGTGCGCTCCAAAATATTTGTTGATCTTGTTTATTGGTATTTATTATTTTGATATTATTTATTTAAATGTAAATATAAATGTATCATTTATTTTTGTATTGGTTTTCAGTTGAATTATACGTTCAGGGTAATCAACAGTTAAAAAGATACTGTTCAAATTATTATTTGTATTTGTTTTAAAGTTCAATAAATGGATGTTTTCAAAGTCAATGAATAATCGTATTTAATAATCGTGATATCAATTATTGACCCAAATAATCGTGATTATGATTTTTGCCATAATCGCACAGCCCTAAGTTGAACCACACCTTGGAGCGCGTTCTCTCCGCCGTGTGTGTGTTGCATGCAGCATGCATGTAGCAGCTGCGTGTGTGTGAACTGCCCCGCCCCCTCGCACACAGACGGGGGAGAGAGGTCTCTCGTCTGGATTGGAAAGATCGATAATGCATCATAGACACATTTTATAGTCTTATTGCATATTACAAACGGAGTTGGCGACACTAAGACTGCGATATAATGTTTGTGTAGCAATAATACACATGCCATGTATTTTTTAGATGTCTCCAGTACCGATAAAAAGACCGGTAGCGTCGGAGCTTAATGGTACCACGGTCTTTAATAATTCAGCCTCGGGGCCCCCTTAATACCGGGGCTCGGTACCCTTCCCTACTTGTTACAGTATTGATATCGAGGTGTTTAGTTCAAAGTAGTTTGACATGTGATCGCCGAGCCCTATTTTACCGCATATTCCTTCAGTTTTCATATCCTTTATCCTGTTCACAGTTGTATTTATTCATTTAAGTTTCATTCTCATATCTTCTCATGTCCCAAACTTCTTGTGTCCTCCAGATGTTCCAGAGGTTGTGTATTCACGTGATCCAGAGGCTGCGTCCCGTTCACGCTCACCTCTACCTGCAGCCCGGCATGGAGGACGGGTATGGGATCATTTTTTTGTTCATAATCCTAGATAATCAAAATCAAAACGCACACTCACTCATTCATAGCTCATTCATTTTAACGCAGTTTCAGTTTCATTATACAGACATATCCACATTGTAGTCAACCATTTTTTCCATTTTAATTTAGCTGTATCTACAGAGCCAACATATGGAAAGAGAACATGAAAAGAAATACTACAAAAATATCCCCAAAAAATAGACAAGAAAAGATAAATACATAAGAAAAGGGGCGTGTCTGTGTGTCTGTGTGTCTGTGTGTCTGTGTGTCTGTGTGTCTGTGTGTCTGTGTGTCTGTGTGTCTGTGTGTCTGTGTGTCTGTGTGTCTGTGTGTCTGTGTGCTAATGTGCAAGTCAGTGCCATTTAAAGCAACATTTTTGTATTTTTATTCTTAGTAAGTTCTTTACCACACCTTCAAAACATTGTTTTATCTTACCTCGATTAAATACAATTGAACCCAACATTTCAAATAAGAAGCCAAAACCCCCCATTACAGCCTCTCTTCCTTAGCCCAAAGAAGTCAAATTAAAATAACTTGAATTAGAAATATATTGGAAGTCTTTTCACTTTGAGCAGCTAAAAAGTTGTTACTCCACTACTTATTTTTCTGACTACTTTTTACTTTCTACTTCTTACATTTTGAACTCAAATACCTGTACTTTCTACTTCTTACATGTTGAACACAAATACCTGTACTTTCTACTTCTTACATGTTGAACACAAATACCTGTACTTTCTACTTCTTACATGTTGAACACAAATACCTGTACTTTCTACTTCTTACATTTTGAACACAAATACCTGTACTTTCTACTTCTTACATGTTGAACCCAAATACCTGTACTTTCTACTTCTCTCATTTCCCAAACAGGCTGGTTCCTTTAGTTTGAATGTGTGTTTGGTTGCGTGATCATTATTATTTAGAGTCATTGCGTGCCTATTGATTTGAACACGATCCGTGTATCCATCATTTCCTGGTCTTCTCTAAAGAAGAGGGACCAATGAAAACGTTGTCATGTTGCCGTTGTTCAGCATGGAAACATTCATTAGCTAACAATGACATTATTGTTCTATTAATATAAAGGGAGGTCAGGTACTCTTTAAAACAGCTGCTAGTTTATGGGTACTTTTTACTGAAGTACATTTCAAAGCCCTCTTTACTTTTACTTGAGTAAAGAAGTTTAGTCAGTTCTTCTACTTTTACCAGAGTATTTTTAAACACGAGTATCTGTACTTCTACTTGAGTAAAGGATGTGTGTACTTTTACCATCTCTGATTAACACTGACATCATGTTCAGGAACACATGCTCAGTCTCAAAGATGATTCTGAACCCCTTTGTTTCTCCTCGTGCCTCAGCTCTGACGATATGGACGGTCCGGTGGAGGACATCGGGAGTCGCTCCTGCGTGACGCGCTTCGTGAAGACGCTCCTGTCCATCATGGAGCACGGGGTGAAGCCGCACAGCAAACACCTGACGGAGTATTTCGCCTTCCTCTACGAGTTCGCCAAGATGGGAGAGGAGGAGGTCGGTCTGAACACTCAGTCACTAGTCTCACCTTCTGTACTGAGAGATGTTTGTCGCCCAAAGGCTTCATCAGTTTGAGTTACTGTGTTACTTTATGTACAAAATGCCTTGTTTCATCCGTAGGCAGCACAGATGGATGTGCAAGTAACGAGAAAGAGAAAATAAATGGTGCTTTTTTTAAAGCCAAGAATGAGAAATAATCCTATGAAAGTATCTTGCACCGAAAATATATTTGGTCAAAAGACTTTCTTAGTTATTTCACAATTATTGAGTACCCATGTATCAGACAAGTGAACTTAATACTTTAAAAAGAGTTCTCATATTATTACATTTGTTTATCAGTTTATATTTATAGATATGAAGCATACACATGTTGTGTTTTATTTATTGTGTACTTTAAATATATATACATTCATTATTATCATTAGTAGTTGTTTGCAGGTGAACTAATGCGTGTGTTCTGTTTCTGCAGAGTCAGTTCTTGTTGTCTCTTCAAGCCATTTCCATCATGGTGCATTTCTACATGGGAACCAAAGGCCCGGAGAATGTGAGTTCACACTCTGATGACTTTGTTTATGTCACACAGCCATCTTAGTGATATCTATCTAGTGATAGACAACACTGATGCAGCACTATAACGAGTACATGTTGGTCCCTCAGCCTCAGGTGGAGGTGCTGTCGGAGGAGGAGGGGGAGGAGGAGGACGAAGAGGAGGACATCTTGTCTCTGGCTGAGGAGAAGTACCGTCCTGCTGCTCTGGAGAAGATGATCGCGCTCATCGCTCTGCTGGTGGAGCAGTCGCGCTCAGAGAGGTACGAGGACACGATTTAAAGACTACGATATGATGGAGCAAATGACTCAACCTGCGTTATATATTTTGTATAGATTTGTGTTTTCATTTTGCTTAATTATTCCAAAAATAGTCAAAGTAGCATCTGTTTCCTCTGGTCTCCTGCAATGGCATCGTATCCCCTTTGTTGTTGTTTACCCAAAGCTGTTTTATATTGACTGTTTATCCCGTTTGAAGCCAGGTTTCTATCACACTTTATTTTCGTTTTTTAACTTTATATTTGAACCTCCGATAAAGGATTTGAGTCTTTAAACGTTTGGATCTGTAGTTAATTAGAAAAACTGAGCGAATGTTAGCAGCAGTGGATCAGCACCGGAGAAATACAGGTTTTAAACGTGGAACTATCTAATTTAGTTGTTTTTAAACGTTTAATTTACCTTGGAGGTTTTAAGAAGTTTGTTTTCTCTTCTTGCCTGTCCTCTATGGGATTTGATCACATGGTCCATTTGGAGATGAGCACAACTGAAATGTGTTTCCTGCTGAAGAGAAATAACATTCAGACACAGATACTCTTTATAAGGGGAATAGCAGTTAACTAAATGTCATTTTATTTAACTTTTTTTATTTAGACAATGTTGTATTTGAAAACAAAATACTAACAAATATAGTTTATAAATTATGATCTGAAAGAATCCAAACCAGGAGAAGCTGATGTTGGTGAACACTAAACAAAAAGAAACTACTGAGAAGTCATTACCTGTTTTATTTGATGCTCCCTGAGCTCCAGACTGACTCCTCTCTCCCTGCAGACACCTCACTCTGTCTCAGAGCGACATGGCGGCGCTGACGGGGGGGAAAGGCTTCCCCTTCCTGTTCCAACACATCAGAGACGGGATCAACATCCGGCAGACCTGCAACCTCATCTTCAGCCTCTGTCGCTATAACAACCGCCTCGCAGAGCACGTAGGTTCTACACACACACACACGTACACACACGTACACACACGTACACACACGTACACACACGTACACACGTACACACGTACACACGTACACACGTACACACGTACATACGTACACACACGTACACACGTACACACGTACACACGTACATACGTACACACACACACACACACACGTACACACGTACACACGTACACACGTACACGCGTACATACGTACACACACACACACACACGTACACGTACACGTACACACACATACACACACACACATACACATACACACACACATACACACACACACACACATATATACACACTCACTCTCTCTCTCTCTCACACACACACACACACACACACATATATATACACACTCTCTCTCTCTCTCTCTCTCACACACACACACACACACACACACACACACACACACACACACACACACACACACACACACACACACACACACACACACACACACACACACACTCTCCTCTGCAAGCTACACTCTGTGTCAGTAGTCCTCTGGGATGATGATCTGATTCAATTTTAAGTTTTGCTACAGCGACACCAGTTTGTTTCTGGGAGACATTTTCCCTCTGGAGGGACGAGTGCTGGAGACTCTGGGACACAATATATATGTGTAAACAATTCAATGGCACAGAAAGTCATTCTGTGTTCCTTTGAGGTCCAAGTAACATGTTGCTTCCTCACAATCACATAACGGCTTGGTCTCTGTATCTATTAGTTAAATTGAGGAAGTAAAATAGCAGTTTTAACATTTGACAATGATCTCAGTGCTGTTTTAAAATGAGAATAATCAATCAGTCTTTGTCATTGTTTGGGCGATGCTGCCAACATCTGCTATCAGTATACAGATCAAAATTGATTGATTGCCTTTTTAATCACAAGTCGTCCTGCCAGACCTTCATTTAAAAACCTCCTGATGTGATCTCTCTGCAGATTGTCTCCATGCTCTTCACCTCCATCGCCAAGCTGACTCCTGAGGTAAGCACAATACACACAGCTTTATCTGTTATTCAAATGTATTCAATTCTATTTTGAGGATTACAACCGTAAGTAAATACTGCTATATTTTACTATATTTTTAAATATTTTTATTATAGTTTTCTTCAAATTGTTTTATTTCTGTGTTTTAACCTTCGTTTTATTTTATGTATGTACCACAACGAGGGATGGGAATTTGAAAGCAAATGTATATTCGACCCCCAAAAAAATGGTTAACCGATTAACAGAATTTACATATCCTATCAATTTTTTTTTTTTTAAATGTTTAAAAAAAAAAAAACGTTTTAATAATAAATACATTTCCGTTTGTTGTGTGGGACTCTCCGTCAGAGTGTAAAGTGTTTTCTTTCAATTTTTCTTAAGATATTTAAAATGGCACTGTCGTATACATGTAATGAATCCATTTGATAACATGTAATCAACTTGGGCACCCCTCCCCTCCCATAAACAAAATAAATATTCACAACTCATTTTTGAATACCTGAATCATTTTGAATGTTCGATTAATCATTCCCATCCCTAACCACAGCACCAAGTCAAATATCTCGTATGTGTTAACCTACCTGGTAATAAACCTGACTCTGACTCTGTAGGTCTAAACAAAAGCACGTTTGAACATTGAACATATCTCACTAAATCCACTGTTTTAATTGTTCCCTATATTGCCCCTATGCCCTGTAAGGTGTCCTTGGGTGCTATGAAAGGCGCCCCCGAAGTAAAATGTATTATTATTATTGAGTCACCGTCACGCTATCATTAGTTTCTCCTTAACGTCTCATCTTTGGAATCACGAGTCCCCTTTCCTCTTGCTGTGTGTGCCTCTGTTGTTACTGTGATGAACTAAATGTGACAGCTGATGATCTAAGGTATCAGATGTAGCTCTCCAACCACAACCCTCTCTTCTTCTCCTCCGTCAGGCTGCCAACCCGTTCTTCAAGCTGCTGACGATGCTGATGGAGTTTGCAGGCGGACCCCCGGGGATGCCCTCCTTCGCCTCCTACATCCTGCAGAGGATCTGGGAGGTAAACACTGACGAAGAAATCACATTTACTGTTAAACTCCCAAACATTTCTCAAGTTTTAAATCTCCTCTCTTAAAGCCGTGACATATTTAGAATCGAGCGATTGGCTTTGGTTAAACTTGACAAGGATTATTTTCAGTTTATTGTATTTATCATGGACAGCTGTTTTAGTGTCTTGAATTGATTTGATTCATTCCCTGCTCGTTCTTACATTGTATTTATAGTCTTTACCCAGATAAATATATATATGTTTCTGATTCTGAAGAAGGCCAAAATGGTAAAAGCAAAGTCTACAAAGACACTGGTTTGATCACCTTAATAATAACTCTCTCACAAGTCCTGCAGTATAATCCCAGTGTAATTGATCCACTTGTGTGCTCACTACTTCCCAAACACTTACTATTCACAACTTGTTTTAAATAGTATTTATATGTTTGCAAAAATGCATGTGTAAACACCTGGTAACATTGAAGTTTGCTTAAAGTGGACCTATCATGCTATATTTGAATAATATAGTGTAGGACCATACCTATATAAGGCATATTTATACTTTTTATTTTTCAAAATACCAAACAGATCATGCATTTTAGCCATGCCTCATTTTGCTCAATTTGACATTTTTTAGATCTGTTTTAGCAAGGGCTGATTCAGTGAGAACAGCACCATCTACAGGCCTGGCATATGTACTACAGCGTCTCCAGCGCTTTTGAACGGCAATGGCCGTGGCTGTCTCCTCCTGATTGGTGGAGTTGGCCCAATAGCCGTAGCGCCACTGTCCTGAAGTCAGGACAGTGTTCAAATCTGGATCAGTTTTTATCAGATCCGTTGCAGCCCCTTTTTTAGAGATTTGGGTATGGAGGAAAATAGAGAGGCTTGTGTTTTCTGACACTTGGTGAGTTCCCTGGAACACCGGGGACACATATTCATGTATAAAAGACGTACAAAAGTGCATTTTGCATGATAGGTCCCCTTTAAGTCCAGAGTGCATAAAAAGCTGGTTCTCCTAAATTCAGAACAGACTGATCTGATCTAAATGTATAGTATCAACGTTAGCTCATGTTGACGTAAAGTAATACTAAGCATCTCTTCATAGGTCAGGTTAACAATAATAATAATACACTTTATTTATATAGCCCCGTTCATGCTTGACGCAGCCCAAAGTGCTTTGCAGAGTGTGACAGAAAAGGACAATTACAAATGAGGAACATAATTAAAAAACAAGGTATTAACAAACAGACAGAGTTATATCACTGAGCCATAAAACCCTAAAACATGAACAGTGATACTACAACACAATTCCTATTGCCCCAAATTATAAGCCAAATAAAAAAGATAGGTCTGTAATTTACTTCAAATAATTCAAATTGATGTTGCTGTTCTAAGATCCAATGGCAAGAGGATGTTATGTTTGTCTCAGTCCGTCAGCCACAAGCAGTGGTGGTAATCTGAAATCTAAATCTGAATTCAAACAAACACTAAACATCTCTTCATAGGTTCAGGTTAACGGCATGATGCTTTTATGATTGTCTCACACACTGATGAGCTGTGCTGTGTTCTTTTTATTGTGTGTCTTCATGTCATGCCCCTCCATGTGAGGTCGGCCCAGACCCTAGGGGTTTTTAAATCTACTCTTAAGACACACTTCTTCTCCCTGGCCTTCTAGTCAGAGCGGAGCACGCCTCCTGACTTTTCCCTGTGTTTTCTTTTTAAATATCTGTTGTAATTTATTGTCTTTTATTGTGCTTATAGAAATGTGTTTTTATGTGATTGTAGTTATTACATGTACAGCACTTTGGCCCGACCAAAAATCGCTTTTAAATGTGCTCTATAAATAAACCTTGATTTGATTTGTGTGTTCCTCCTCCAGGTGATCGAGTACAACCCGTCCCAGTGTCTGGACTGGTTGGCGGTTCAGACTCCGAGGAACAAGCTGGCTCACAGCTGGGTTCTGCAGAACATGGAGAACTGGGTGGAGCGCTTCCTGCTGGCGCACAACTACCCCCGAGTCCGCACATGTGAGAAAGCTCTCTGATAATACTGCAGCTGTTTAATCTGACATTAAGGTTTTATCATTCAGTGGTAACATAAAGGGTCTCTGGGTAGGGTGGGTATGATATTTGATAACATTTCATTTGATCTTTTTGTATTGCTAATTTTACCTAACTTCTTATGTTAACATAAATAATTGTATATTTTTATTGCATGTTTCTATTTCTTCTTATGATCATATACATATTTTTATCTTTTATGCTTAATTTATAATGTTGTATTTTCATTTATTTTTTATTGCACATGTTTATTTAACTTTTTAGTTTTATTTAAATATTTAAATAATATTTTATTTTTCCTTTTTCTTACATATTTCTCCGTAACTTCTTATGATGAATAATTTAATTACATTTTTTATTACACAATTTTACCTAACATTTGATTTTATAAAAATGTACCGTTATTTTATTTATATTTATCTATTTAATTTATTATTTTTATTGTATTATTTTACTACACATTTGATCTTTCTCCTTAAGTTATATAATTATTTGTATTTCATTTGATGTTTCTCTCACACATTTTTATACATTTTAATATCATTTATTTTTGTGGTCCTTTTTACTAAACATTTTTACTTAGCTTCTAATGTTTATACTCATATTTGATCTTTTAATTGCACATTTCTATTCAACTTGTGTTTTTTAAATCAAGCATCTGTCACCAGACCATGTTCCCACTGGTAGAAATGAAGTATTGATTTGTTCTGACCATGTCTCTATTAGAATCTGAAAGGCTTCCCATATCACATATTAAAGTTCCCTGCCTCTCCCTCCAGCGGCGGCGTACCTCCTGGTCTCCCTGATCCCCAGCAACTCTTTCCGTCAGATGTTCCGCTCCACGCGCTCGCTGCACCTGCCGACCCGCGAGCTGCCGCTGTCGCCCGACACCACGGTGGTTCTGCACCAGGTGTACAACCTGCTGCTGGGGCTGCTGGGCCGCGCCAAGCTGTACGTGGACGCCAGCGTGCACGGCACCACCAAGCTGGTGCAGTACTTCAGCTTCATGACGTACTGCCTCATCTCCAAGACGGAGAAACTCATGTTCTCCGGATACTTCATGGACCTCTGGAACCTCTTCCAGGTACACACAGATATTACCCTTTAAAGAGCAATGCTTCCTCTATCCTATCCTGTACTGATACATTACATTATTTTATCTTCTTATTAAACATTTTTACTTGATTTCTTATGTTTATATAAATATTTATTTTATTTATTTATTTTATTGCACATTTGTTCCTCTATTTTCTTATGTTTATACATTTATTTGTATTTTATAATTTTATGTCTTACACATTTAGCCAACTTGTTGAATATACCATTTTTTTAATTTGATTAATTTTTGTATTGCCCAACTTTATTGCCCAATATTTGTATTTTATTTTATCTTTTTAAATGCATATATTTACTTCTTATGTTTGTATAATTATTTTAATTGTATTGGGTCTTTTCCTTCACATTTCACTTTACTTTTCATATAAACACAAATGTTTGTATTTAATTACATTTACTTTTTTGCACATCATCTTAACTTCTTGTGTTTTATATAGATATATATATATTTTTTATTAGACATTATTGACTTACCTTATTTTTCATATATTTAGTATTGTATTTTATCCTTTTATTGCACATTTTTTCTTAACCCTATGTTTTTTTTTAAATTCTAAAATGGAGCAGCTGTCATGAAAACCCCTGGCATCAAAAATAAATCCTCTGCTCCTGCTAGTTGCACTTCTTCCCTAAACATTAGTTTCTCGCCTGCAGCTTCACTCTCATTATTTTTCTCTTCTCCGTCTCCAGCCCAAACTCTCGGAGCCGGCCATCGCCACGAACCACAACAAGCAGGCTCTGCTCTCGTTCTGGTACAACATGTGCGTGGACTGTCCGGAGAACGTGCGTCTGGTGGTGCAGAACCCCGTGGTGACGAAGAACATCGCCTTCAACTACATCCTGGCCGACCACGACGACCAGGAGGTGGTGCTGTTCAACCGCGGCATGCTGCCCGCCTACTACGGCATCCTGAGGATGTGCTGCGAGCAGTCGCCAGCGTTCACCCGCCAGCTGGCCTCACACCAGAACATCCAGTGGGCCTTCAAGAACCTCACGCCACACGCCAGCCAGTACCCCGGCGTGAGTACAGAGCATCAATCAATCAATCAATCAATCAATCAATCAATCAATCAATCAATCAACAACTTTATTAATCCTGCAAGGGGCAATTAGTTATGAGCAGAGATGGCAAAAGTACACACATCCTTTACTCAAGTAGAAGTGCAGATACTCGTGTTTAAAAATACTCTGGTGAAAGTAGAAGTACTGACTAAACTTCTTTACTCAAGTAAAAGTAAAGAGGGCTTTGAAATGTACTTCAGTAAAAAGTACCCATAACTAGCAGCTGTTTTAAAGAGTACCTGACCTCCCTTTATATTAATAGAACAATAATGTCATTGTTAGCTAATGAATGTTTCCATGCTGAACAACGGCAACATGACAACGTTTTCATTGGTCCCTCTTCTTTAGAGAAGACCAGGAAATGATGGATACACGGATCGTGTTCAAATCAATAGGCACGCAATGACTCTAAATAATAATGATCACGCCACCAAACACACATTCAAACTAAAGGAACCAGCCTGTTTGGAAAATGTGAGAAGTAGAAAGTACAGGTATTTGAGTTCAACATGTAAGAAGTAGAAAGTACAGGTATTTGGGTTCAACATGTAAGAAGTAGAAAGTACAGGTATTTGGGTTCAACATGTAAGAAGTAGAAAGTACAGGTATTTGTGTTCAAAATGTAAGAAGTAGAAAGTACAGGTATTTGTGTTCAACATGTAAGAAGTAGAAAGTACAGGTATTTGGGTTCAACATGTAAGAAGTAGAAAGTACAGGTATTTGTGTTCAACATGTAAGAAGTAGAAAGTACAGGTATTTGTGTTCAACATGTAAGAAGTAGAAAGTACAGGTATTTGAGTTCAAAATGTAAGAAGTAGAAAGTACAGGTATTTGGGTTCAACATGTAAGAAGTAGAAAGTACAGGTATTTGGGTTCAACATGTAAGAAGTAGAAAGTTCAGGTATTTGTGTTCAACATGTAAGAAGTAGAAAGTACAGGTATTTGAGTTCAAAATGTAAGAAGTAGAAAGTACAGGTATTTGGGTTCAACATGTAAGAAGTAGAAAGTACAGGTATTTGAGTTCAAAATGTAAGAAGTAGAAAGTACAGGTGTTTGTGTTCAACATGTAAGAAGTAGAAAGTACAGGTATTTGTGTTCAAAATGTAAGAAGTAGAAAGTACAGGTATTTGTGTTCAAAATGTAAGAAGTAGAAAGTACAGGTGTTTGTGTTCAACATGTAAGAAGTAGAAAGTACAGGTGTTTGTGTTCAAAATGTAAGAAGTAGAAAGTACAGGTGTTTGTGTTCAAAATGTAAGAAGTAGAAAGTACAGGTGTTTGTGTTCAACATGTAAGAAGTAGAAAGTACAGGTATTTGTGTTCAACATGTAAGAAGTAGAAAGTACAGGTATTTGTGTTCAACATGTAAGAAGTAGAAAGTACAGGTATTTGTGTTCAACATGTAAGAAGTCAAAGTAAAAAGTCATCAGAAAAATAAGTAGTGGAGTAAAGTACTGATACCAGAAAGATTTACTTAAAGGTGGGGTAGGTAAGTTTGAGAAACCGGCTCGAGATACACTTTTTGTTATATTCCATGGAATGCTCTTAACATCCCGATAGCAATGAATATCTTAAGTGCTTTGACAAAAAATCCATAAAAAAATGTCATCTGTGGAAGCTGTAGTACTGTAAAAAGTACGACCAATCATTTGAGCCGGCCCGGCTAAAATAACTGGATGGCCTACCTGCCTGTCAGCCTTCCATCTGTGCACAAACTTATCTCGTGCCCTCATTGGTCATGTGGTCTCCTCCAACACACACGCGTTCGTGTGTGTTGGAGGAGGGGCTCTGTAAGGAAGTGGCAGATTTTCTCCGGTTGTGTATTTTCAAATTCTAGCCATCTCGAGCTGGTTTCTCAAACTTACCTACCCTACCTTTAAGTACATTTAAAATAACCGATATTTAAAAAATGCTAAACTAAGGTGTGTGCTGCCCCCTGCAGGCGGTGGAGGAGCTGTTCAACCTGATGCAGCTGTTCGTGGCTCAGAGAGCCGACATGAGAGAAGAAGAGCTGGAGGACGTGAAGCAGTTCAAGAAAACAACGATCAGCTGTTACCTTCGCTGCCTGGACGGACGCTCCTGCTGGACCACGCTCATCAGGTACACACACACACACACACACACACACACACACACACACACACACACACACACACACACACACACACACACACACACACACACACACACACACACACCAACACAGACACACCAACACAGACACACACACACCAACACACACACACACACACACACTCACTCCCTCACACAGACTCTCCTCAGCAAGCTACACTCTGTGTCAGTAGTCCTCTGGGATGATGATCTGATTCAATTTTAAGTTTTGCTACAGCGACACCAGTTTGTTTCTGGGAGACATTTTCCCTCTGGAGGGACGAGTGCTGGAGACACTGGGACACAATATATATTATTTTGTACACAAACAAATGAGTTAGTTTCCCTCTGGTTTGACCCCTGCTCTGTGTTTGTTCCTCTCAGTGCCTTCAGGGTTCTGCTGGAGAACGACGAGGACCGTCTGCTGGTCGTCTTCAACAGAGGACTGATCCTCATGACCGAGGTGAGACGGATCCTCTCTTCCTCAGACGGGGAACACTTCAGAATCAGAGCAGCTAGATTATATAGACATACAACCAAGACTTACACGCACAACTAAGAGACATAAAGTACAAACATTTAGGTACATAACAACACTTTTTCTTTTTACATAAACACTGGAAAATAGTTGGGATTTTTTCCTACCTTTTTTATTTTATAAAAATAGAAATGTAAAAAAGTTTTTAGGGAGAGAATTAAAGTAAGATTTGCTTTTATCATTTATTATCTCTAAACAACAAAATCACTTGTATTCATATTTTAATTCGTACATCCTGTTGAATTCAACTACACTTAAAGTTTAAATATTAAGCTGGCAAAATCAGTTGTTTTGAATTCCTTCTAAAAACACTTTTGCTTTGATGTTGAATCTCTTCATCTCGTATATAAAGCAGCTTGTGAAAAGCTTTTTTACATTTGAAGTTTACTATAATAAGAACCAGGTTGAAATCATTTATTAGATATACGAGGCGCCTCAGTGAATCCCTCTGCTGTCTTTAAGAATGTGATTTCCTGTCCTCAGTCGTTCAACACTCTGCACATGATGTACCACGAGGCCACGGCCTGCCACGTCACCGGAGACCTGGTGGAGCTGCTCTCCATCTTCCTCTCCGTGCTCAAAGCCACGCGGCCATACCTGCAGCGCAAAGGTCAGCACACACACACACTCACACACACACTCACACTCACACTCACACTCACACTCACACTCACACTCACACACACACACTCACACACTCACACACTCACACACTCACACACTCACACACTCACACACTCACACACTCTCACACACACTCACACAGAAATACAATCATTTATTACATACTGGACTAAAACATTACCATGGCAAATTAGGGGCAATGTAGGCTAATAGTATAGTATAGAATTGGAGGATGAAACCCTCTTAATGTGTCACTCATACATGCACACAGCACACACAGTGACATGTGACCTCTGCATTGAACCCATCCTAGTACCAGGAGCAGTTTAATGAAACAATAAGCAGTACATCAATA